CCCTGAACCCAAACCCCTAAACCCTACACCCTGAGCCCTCAACCCTATACCCTGAACGCTACACGCCGAACTCCAGTCCGGCCGCAGTGTGCGAGGCCTGTCCTGGCTTCATCTGCGCTGCATCTGGCATCGGCGCCTGCTCTGCAGAGGTCAGAGGTCTGCGGACATCATTCTTCGTAGTAGTAGGGTTTAGGGCTTAGGGTTTAAGGTTTAGGGTTTAGGGGTTTAGCGGACATCATTCGTAGTACGGCTTGGGGGTAGGGGAGATTACATTACAACTCTGGCAGGCCGTCAACAAATAAGAAATCCATAACGAGCAACTACAGACAGAAGGATGGGCAGGAGAAGATAAGACAAGGTGTGCAAGCTAAGACAAGCTAACATGAGATACGATAATCGCAGTCAAGATAGGATACAATAAGATAAGCTAAGGCAGACTAAGGTAACAGAATAAAGTTGAAGCTTTGATAATACAACATGAGATAAACATACTTTGGACTAGCTTAGGTCAGATGGGAATAGACTAGAATAGAACAGATTGAGTTAGTTTAGATTTCGATAAAACCAGATGCAATAATAGTGTCTAGAATGGAACAGCTAGTTAGAGAGACCTATGGATGGATGGCTTGCTGGCTGCCTGGCTGAATGGATAGGCCCATCTAGATATAAACACTCCATATTGGGGTCGAAATAATAAGAGTAGGCATATATCATACTACGGCTATAATAAACCCTAAACCCCAAAATAACAAGGAACGCCGATATTGGCTAACTTATTGAGCTGTGCATAGCCTCGTCGCGGCGCCGCGGAGGTACAAACGGGGTTTCGGGCTTCTTCGTGCAGAGACCTGGTAGGAGGGGGTTTAGTGTTTTCAGTTTCGGGTTTAAAGGTTTCAGGGTTGAGGGTTTTAAAACTGAGGGTCCCGGTCAGTATTTCATATCCCTTTGCGCGTTTCTAGCATGCTCATCAGTTTTGGCATTCACCGCAATACATACATACATACATACATA